ATAAAATGTTTTATTTCCTTCTATAATGGACTTAATTCTGTTATTTTACGGAATAAACGGCGGAATGACCAGGAATTTCCGTGAAATTTAGAGATAAAATGTTTTATTCCATTCTGTAATGGACTTAATTTTGTTATTTTACGGGATAAACGGTGAAATGGCCAAGAATTTACGGATTATTTCTGTTTGCAAATACAACGAAAAGTAATCACATACATATATAATCATTCCTAATAATTATCATGTTATAGTATTCATTTCAATTTATTAACCATAATATGACGAATCATATTTTGTAAATTTTGGTATATTACATGTCATGTATATCTAATTTCCATTATTTATAATATCTATAAAGTGTATTGTTTTTGATCATACGGTAATCAGATTGTAAGTATTTTCATAAATATATAGAAATATACGTATGTATACTCTGCGCTATCACTTCCGTGGAAGCGGACGTTAAAACACCAGGTAGTAGTCCGTATGTATAAAAATATGTTTTAATGCTCCGTATGTATAAAATATGTTTTAATGCTCCGTATGTATAAAACATATTTTTTATACAATTATGAAAATACTTACAATCTGATTACCGTATGTATAAGGGGGGCTGGGATGGCCTATTGGTCTAGAGTGTCCGTCCTGCATCACTGACAAGGTGGAACCACGCCGGAAAATCTGGATGAACTTTCTCCGCCAATGCAGGGATCGAACACCCGACCTCCAGACTAGCGAGCTAGCGTCTTACCCACTTAGCCACGTGATCCCCCTTGTCTCTCGAATTCTTACATAAGCGGAAAGAGGTTGCGTATAAAGATTGTCTGCGATATCACTTACGCGTCATTAAACAAAAATAACCAGGATTGTTTTTCTGTATTTGAAAATAGAATCAATGTTAATTGAAGGAATGTCTGTAAATTACAGGAAAACCAAATACGGATACAATTTTCCTGGTAATTTGTTTTTGTTTCACGGATTTTTTTGTTACAGTGTAGGCGTAAACGCTGCTGTTAATGTAAACTGTAGGACGTTAACGCCCATTTTCTGTCGTTTCCGGCAACGTGCTCGTACAGTGTACGCATGATAAATAAACACAACACTTATAAACGCTGTAACCTCTGTTCGTAATTATTAGTACATTAGTTACGAGTTGTGAACTATATTAACAAGAACACTAAACGTTTAATTTTAAACAATTATCTATACGATTACTTTCGACTTTTACAGATTTGTCCACCATGTTGTCATGGTTTAAGAAAAGATGGAAGCGAAAATCAGCCGCTGCCGCAAACCCCAGCAGAAAACGGGATCCAGGGAGAGACGTCACACGACCATTTTATTTTGAGTTAGAGAATACATTTATTGATTTGCACCACTGTTATGAAGTAATTCCGGCCAGAATTGAAAAGTCATCTCTTCAAGTTACCCCTCTTCCTCAAGAGTTCAGACAAGAGTCATCTAGCTTCGAAGTCTGTTCAATCTGTCGTAAAGCGCGCAGTCTAGATAATCTTTTGACACGTGATCATCCTGAACCACCCATCCCTTTTTATCAAAATACTACAGCCTTATCACCAATAGCAACCGGTATTCATGGATATGACGCCACACACCGGAGACATTGTCCTGATCACGTGTATGCAATTTTAACCAGTGAGAAGTCGCAGCTTATCTTCAGACGTGACACGTACATTAGACGACGCCCACTGCCAGAACCCCCGATTAAGCAGGGAGTAGATAGAGATGTAAGTGACGGTGAAAGTGAAAGTAGTGGATTTTACGAGACTATTGAATCGGATGTTGATACGTCTTTTACTGGACCGTGGATGTCCGAATCCATACTGGTGTGAATGGAAAGACATGGGGATTTGAAATCTTAATCGCTGAACTGTGAAGGCGGGAAAAAAAGTCATGCGGTTTGCTATCAAGAAATTTGGCCCGGGCATTGGAATTACGGTCCACTATCGATTTCCAACTCCTGGGGTTCTGTAACGTGGTATACAAAATCGTTAGATCGCCCGGTACTGGTGCAATTCATTTAGTAGTCGAACAGAACAAAAGGAGGGGACAAAAATAAGGTTTAACGTTCACTCGACATAAACTAGGTCATTTTCGGACTAACATATGGTTCAATTTCTTTTCAATAATTTCTAGGAGTTGTTAGCAGTGAGAGGACCTGGAGAAAACCCACGAGGTTGGACAGGCGCCCCTACTCTTTGTCACGTACACGCGGGGAATCGAAACCACACCACTTGACTCAATGATAGCAAGCCTCCGTTTAGGGTTTTACCATTCGGCCACTCAATCCCCTTAGCACAGAACAAATTCATATGTTAAAAAAAACAGTGCGTTTATTTCTTTCTTTTATGCTTATTTCTGGAAATGTAAAATTATTAATCACATGTCTTGTTATTGTAACTAATGTTATTGCTTTGCTGTTGTTGAATAAATCATTTGTTAAATTTAGTAGTCAGTGCTGTATCTGAGACAGGTAGTTAAATGGACTAGAAATGAGATTTAACGTCCTACGTTCTGCACCGACAGGACTATAGTGACGAAGACCACATGCCCGACCGGAGAAGAAAAGTAGAGCGTTAAATTTAATGTCATTCATTCCGTGACAAGTTGATCGAAACGATCACTGAATCCACACTGCATTATTATGAACACGTCAGATTAACCAGGGCGTTCAAAGATGTTAAAATTTAGGCAGTGCCTATTGTTACGACGAGTCGTAAAAATAGTCCTCAGGCTATTGTTACGACGATGCTTTCACAGCCCTCCATCGGCGAAGTTAAAAACTGAATAGTCGTAAAAAATAATCCTAACCCCAACCCTTCCCATCTCTTAATTGCTGCCTTTAGTTCTGAAAACGTTGAACATACTGCTCCTTTTTCAAAGCTGGTGTTGGGGAGATTGGCAGCCATTTTGGAATTCGTTCTAAACTTGGCTCAGAATCGTCGTAACAATAGCAACATTGTAAAATTTAACATGGGCCAGTAGCACCCGCTGGTTATATAGTTCACGTTAATTGCTATATAAACGTCACAACAAAACATATGTATTCACAAACAGTACATGTTGCTATATTGTGGCTTGCTAGTATTTTTCTTGGAATATCATGGTGGCTCGGAGAGGATGGGGGTAGTCCAATGACCAGTAGGTCCAGGGTTCGATCCAGATGTCAAACGAGATAGTTTTCCGTGATTTTTTGTTCAGGACAGAGGGTCGGAGAAAGAACAGTGTCTAGTCTTTCGGAAGTCGCAACAACTTGAGATCCCATCACGCTAATCTGGAGGTCACGTCGTGTTCGATCCCGGCGATAGCCGAGAGAGCTCATTGTGATTTTCCGACGATATTGCCCCTTCTCAGTGGTGCAGGATGGAGGGTCTAGCAGGGGACAGCGCATAGACTTTCGCATGGGGAGAACTTCCGATGTCACGTGTACACATTGACGTGTGGGTAAAAGAACCCCTGGCAGTAGGAATTCGAATTAAGACTAGGTCACTGAACCACTGTCCAGGCAAAATTCACCTCATGGCACACTGTATTACCTATGCGTTTTTTCATTAGCACAGTCGGCGCAGAACAGTAGGACGTTAAACTTCATTTCATTTTGTTATCTAAAATGACGTAGGAACTGTCATGAATAGAATAACCTTGGATGTAACTGATAAGCAGATAAGATTAAGGGAACCCAAAAAAGTCTGAGGTTAGATCCACGATGTAGATTGTTTATAGATCCAATACAGAAATGTAGACCGTGTATAATCGCCATCATGTCAAAAAATGTAGCTTTTTAAACACCAGAATATAAAATAATGGTCGAACTTTCTATTTGTCTACCAAGTTTGTTGGTCTACCAATCAAACCGAGGGGACCAGAGATTTCCGCGAAAGGCCCCGGTTCCAAAGTACACTTGAATGCGACCAAAAATCCCAAGGAAATGTGTCGGGAAAACACCGGGATCAAATCCTAGACCCTCAACTAAACAATTTTCTTGTATCGTGGATGTGGGGCAGTTTACCCATGAACGCCATAGTATCCATTGCATAGATATTGAGATGAACATGTTTCGAACCATTTTATCAGGAGTATTCTAGACAGGTAATTATTAATGTAAAGATTTTCTTGTACTACGGGGATTGTCTGAAAACATCATCTTAAAGGACAGCGTTGCCGTCAACTGATTTGACATCTGCGGTAGAATAGATTACACAGTTTCCAAAATGTTATAGGGCCATGTTTTTATTCAACTGATTTTATTTAGCCTATGTATTACACTGGTTCATACTGTCGCGTTAAATGACGATGTTGCCTTCCACTGATTGTATGTATGTGTTGAAATGGGTTACTCAGTTTCCAATACAGTATCATGTTAACAGGCCATGTTGTCATCCACTCATTTGACGTATATGATAGACTAGGTTACATAGAATAGGTTCCACAGTTTTCAAATAACATGTTACAGGACAACTTTGCCCAATTTGATTAAAATACAGATCTATATTTCGTTTCGTTTTTTATACTTTCGATGCCTACACTACAGGTCCGTGCATGGCACGCCAAAAAGTCGACGTAACAGACTGTTTCATTGGCTTATCCCTCCCTTCAACCAAAACGCCAATAAAATAACAATTCTTCCAGATCCTAGTGTACTAAAGACAAGTAAAACGAAATTTGGAACTATAAAAAACGAAACGAAATAGGATCAGTGTTTTAGTCAGATTGAACCTTGCCATTCCCCGATTTTACATATGCCTTGGAATGGGTTAAACAGTTTCCAAATATAATAATATTTTAAAGGAAAGCACCTTTGCCATGGTTGATTCGTAACCACAACTCATGAATTCCCATGTGACGCAAATACAATGGACTGATTTATACAATTTTAAAAATATTTCATACTATAATTATGGAATTAAACCGATAAAGATAAGTCACACATTAAAATCCTTATCAGTTGTCGATTTCCTCAAAAACACGGTCACCTGTGCTTATTGTATTATTTTCATTCAGAAATACAATGATTAGACTGCTAATACTACTCGCTGTTTTTACAGGTATGTTTCGTCTGTTTATTGTGGCAGGTATATCTGGGATTTATACTAGGAATCTATTTAATTTTACAAGTATAAATCGGATCTTTTTTTACAGGTTTAATTAAGATGTATTTATTTTTACAGGTGTAATTGTGATCTAGTTTACAGGTGTAATTGGTATCTAGTTTACAGGTACAATTGCGATGTATTTATTTTTATGTGTGTAATTAGGGTCCAGTTTGCAGGTGTAATTGGGATCTAGTTTACATGTGTAATTGGTATCTAGTTTACAGGTGTAATTGGGATCTAGTTTACATGTGTAATTGGGATCTAGTTTACAGGTGTAATTGGGGTCAAGTTTATAGGTGTAATTGGTATCTAGTTTACAGGTATAGTTGGAGTCTTTTTATTTGTACAAGTATAGTTTGGATCTATTTATTTTTACAGGGTTAGATGGGATCTGTTTATTTTTAAAGGGTTAGATGGGATCTGTTTATTTTTACAGGTATTTAATTTTACAGGTATGGTTGGGATCGTCAGAATAATCATGTGATTCGGATATATTTCAAGACGCATTATGCACGACCTAAATCTGCCTATTGTATTTCTTTTGCCTGGTTCAAATATTATATAGACATTTATTCACAATCCAAGCCCATAATCAGCTACTCCCGAGATATTGAGTGGATTAGAAGGAATGCGCCACTTTTCATAATTTAACGTTAAAACTGATAATTAAGACCTTGTTTATTATTTTTGCAATGGTACTTGACTTTCGAGACTTAACTCTCGTAACTTTGCTTAGAATATATTCCTTTTCCAGTATTTATTTTTAAAACTATTATAGTAAGAACGATGCGCCTTCTCTCTAAATCTTATATAATCTAACTTAAGTCTTACAGTTGTAGCTTAGATCGTAGATTTATTGTTGCGGGTGTTTGTCTTTGATTTTCACAGATATAGCCCAGCCCGAGGTATAGGACACATGGTGGCTTTTTTGCATTACATATTTCGTTGCTAAAATGACCTAGCCCTGAAGTTGGAAGCATTTTATGAAAAAGCCTAAGACACATCTGTTGTTGAGAAGATATCATGCGTTGTCTTTTAAAGATGCATTATTTAAGATTTAAGCAGAGCTGACCTCTCTTGCTATAATAGATAATAAAAATGAATATACTGAAAATATGATTCTAATTACTTTTGAAGATAAAGCGTTGATTGTTATTATCGTATACCATCGGTACTTGACAACTGCGACTAACCTTCAATTATCCATTATCGTTACGGGAGTTTTCTAGTCCATTGAAATTTCGGACATCCGATGGTCTAGAGTGTTGATGATTATAAGCGTGTCATATGAATATATGTCTAATTAATGATTTATATAACATTTGAGGCCAAACGAAAGATCTACATTAGGCAGATTTATCTCTTACATAATGCATCTTTAAATCTAATACAATTTAACCACCTGAGTATAACCAGCTGTAGTAGTATATATTACTTGTTTACAGCGTCTTGTTACGGTAACTCGAAATGTAATATGCAGAATGGTGTTCGTGTGCACAATAATAAACGGTGTGCATCAACAACACATTATTATGATTCGCATAAAGGGGCATGTGGATGTGGACACGATGACTCCCAATTCTCCTGGAACCACGATCATCTGGTAGTCGCAGCTAGTCAAAATCTCTTCGATCCCTCTGGGTCGAAGAAGGATTGGTGTGGAGGTTCTTGTGGAAAATGTGTTCGTCTAACACCAACAGGTAATTGTACTTTTAATCATCGATCATAAAATTGATAATTGGCATTTTCAAAATGTCTCGTTGTTATCACAAAATGGATAGTCGCTTTTTAAAATTAAGTTCATTGAGATGTTTCCAGGTATATGTTTTATACATTCAGTTTATTTTTAATATGATGCTTCAAAGGATATAAAGTAAAAAGAAACTTATGACCAGGCCTACTTGATCCATTTAATTAACTGTACATTTGTTACCCGGTTGGCCCCGCGATGACATTAGCACATCCGTGCAAGTGATGTTAGCTATATAAAACATTAATTCGTTTACTAATAATTCTTCTACTGTCTGTTCCAGGTGACACTACGACACGACAATTGCTTGCTATTTCTTCAATTTTTAATTTAGACGACTAAAACTTAGTGACATACCTGGAATTGCCATCCCATTACTTTCTTACACGAGGAAACAAAATTCAGATCAAGCTATATAACCTCTCTCTCATGAAAAATCATAGTTTGTTTACATCCCGCTGTTGAACATCAGCCATGTGTGACCTAGTTATCCAGAAGAGTCGAAGAGGGAGGGGACGTTGGTTTGGCTCGAGTCGTTTCGGTATACTTGGATGTCAAGGAAGTTGTTTCGGCCAAGTAAAAAATAACTTTTATTTTTACGGAATCCAAGACCACTGCAGTTTGTCCAACTGAGCTGAATATTTAATTGGCCCCGAGGGCTGTAGCGTTTTGATATTCATGTTAACTGCGTACAAATTTTATCCTGAACTGCATGTGATGGAAATTTTGAAGGGGGTTATAGGCGTACACAATAACTTGGTCCATAATATGCAAAAGTAATCGCGGATTGCATAGTTAATAAAAGTGATTCCCTTGCTTACGACTTTGCCTTGAGACAATTTAAAGTTGAATTTAGGCTGGAGCAATGATTAGACTAAATGTATATGTAACCTAATTTCTCGTGAAGCCTACAACAAAAGTAAAACCTTTTTTATATAATAATTATGTCTGGCGTATTATCGCCCGGTTCAATTTTTTATACTTTCAATGGCCTACACTACATGAAGATCTGACAAGTTATAGCGATAGGTCACGTCAGGGGTGAAAGGACCGACTTATGACCCTATGACGTCACTAGTGGATTACCCACAGTTCCGTGAAAAACACGCCTAAAGCTCGCCGTAACAGACCGTTTCATTGGCTTATCCCCGACACCACTCAGAACACGAGTTGAATAACAACTCTTCCAGATCCAAGTGAAGTAAAGACAAGTAAAACGAAATTTTGAACTATAAAAACGAAACGAAATAAGATCTGTGTTTTATTATTAACCAGATTGCGCCCGGTCGATGCTGGCGTACCATTAAACATCAATTACATCATTTCATTTCATATCTTCAATCAAGGTTATGCAAGTCAGAACACATATTCCTGAAGCTATTGTCTCGAGAAATCCCTTTCTGGCCATTGCTGGATTGACTTCTGATACTTGAGCTTTTGCGGCAGTGTGTCTATTCTTCCCATTCAATCAAATCTATCCCAAGTAGAGCAACATCACAGTGCTTCGTTTAATCTGGGGTCTTCCCTGAAACTTTGGACAGTGATTTAAGATATTAAAAACGGTGAAAGTATTATTCGTCCCCAAACAGTATTGTTTATATTGTATCCGTTTTGACAGCCTCGTTTGTCACGCAATAAGTTTTTCTGCAATTTTGGCTATGTACTGGTTAATTGGGCGTAAATTTCTTGAGTCATGACGTAACGTTATGTAAAGATATTTGGTCCAATTTGGAGCTCTGTTTAAAGCCTAATGAAATTGTTACGCAGTTAGCTATTGGTTGTTAATCGGACTATTGACCAGTCATAATTTGGAACAGAAATTTGCTTCCATTACAGCAGTGTTAAGTGGGATTAGATCTATTCAAATGAAACACTGCGAGGAATAAATAATTCTGTTTCTCGAAATAACTACATAATAGTTTGGTTAATTCCTTGACATCTCGCGTAATTTTCATCTTTAAATAATAAACTGTAGATAACAATAATCAATTATTCAAGGGGTTATATTTTCGAAGATTCGCTTTTTTTATCGTTTCTAGCTGAATATCTGAAATAAATCTGAACTGTTGTCAAATATCAATACTATGAATATCTAAGATCCAGTAGTGAACTGTGAGGAATATTAAAATAACGGTATTTATGTTGCAAAAAGGGGGTTTAGAAAGAGCTCAGAAAATTATTGAAAACTTTAACTGCGATGCAGCCATGACGGGTTTCACCGGTGCTCGTAATCCTTTAACGGGCGTCACTTAACATATTCCCATGAGCATGTTACACGTGTTAACTATTTAGGCGAAATTGCCATTTATGATAGCATGTCACGTGTGGAACCCTTACAAAATGACCAATGCTTGGTCGTATATCTACACAATATTACTTAAACAAAATTAGTAAACATCATTATTAAATGGCACTGAATAACACTCTTTAGAAAAAAACATGTTTGCTTTAAGGGTTGAAAATATGTTGGGGTTTTTTTTCAAAATCACTGTAGATGTGTTTGGGTAAACAACGTAAAAAGGTACTTTGGACAATTGCATAAAGTTACAAACTATCTTTTGATATATTCATATGTTCGCAGTGGTTTGTGCTTCTCGATATGTGGAATTAAAGTTTTAAAATTTAATTATGAACAAACAGGTATATTTGAAATTAAAGTTTGTTTAATAAGGGTTAAAAGTACCATTTTTGCCAAAATGATGCCATTTCTAACGACAAGAATGTAACAATAATTTACAGTTGCAGTATCAAATCGAGCAAATGTCATTAAAATAGAACACTATTTTATTCTTATGAAAAGTGACTCCCACAAAACTGCCTATTTCTCAGAAATAGCAAAAATTCAAAATGATTCATGGATATTTGGTTGATGTTATATATCAACCCTACGTGTAGATAAATGTTTAGAATACAAATATTATAAAATAAAAAAGTTAAATAACATTTGCGGGAAAACGGAGTACGAAAATCGATTCCCGCCTTGCTCTGCATATTTACGAGGACTATCCAGATATATATCAGCTAATTTGCGATAAGATAATATTTTGTATTAATTATTATTATAGATAGTGCCAACATGTATACCATGCCGTTGATTCTGTGTCAATCGGATAATTATTATTTAGTTAATAGGCTAAAAACTGCAAGGCCAAAGGGAAATAATCTGGACAAATACATTTTGAATATTTATATACAGCTGATCAGAACCTTGGAAAACTAATAAAGTGTTTATAAAAATGTCATATCTCTAGACCTTACTCCCCAAAACCGAGTGGCTGAATGCGCAGTCTCTGCAAAATAAGCGGGTTAAAACAGAACAAAATATTAATCCGACCAAAAAACATGATCCACAGTCTGAAACCTAAGTATTACTGCCGCAAAAGAAACGGGCGAATTTTCCTTCACTATATATTTCTAACCGAATGTACCCGATTGGGAGATACCTGTCTATCCTATACGCGAAATGCAAGTCTCCCATTACGCAGACGCACTCGTAATGTTGATGTTTTGAGAAAGAAACAATGTCGAAATATGTGAAATTTCCAAGAGGAGAGTGGATCTTATCGAACTTTTAGGCGTTAGGGCTCGACGAAGCGAGCAACGGGATGACAATTTCAGGTATGTCACCAATTTTTGGCCGTTTAAATTAAAAACTGAAGAAATGGCAAGGAATTTGAGAGTCAGAGTATCTCTTGGAACAGACAGTAGGTGTGATTAAGAGATAGGCAGACAAAATAAAGCGTAGTCTAACGTCAATTTGACACAACTAGGCCATTTCGGGACTACAGTATAATTATGGTTCAATTCCATTGCAAAAATTCGCTATAATTTCCTTGGCATAGGGGTCCTTAGCAGTGGGTGGGTGGGTGTGTGTGTGTGTGTGGGTGGGGGGTGACCCGATGAAAACTCCCGAAGTTTGACAAGCGACGTTGTCACGTACAAGTGGGGAATCGATACCACACCACTTGACTCAATGATAACCTTTATGATCTATTCTTACATTTCAGAATATGAAATTTCATAATAATAATAATAATAATAGTGTTTCTCGGGTGTTCTCTAACATGTTTCGTCTTTTCAGTATCTATACATTTAATTTTGTTTTAAATATTTATAGGTGGATTTGTTGAGGGTCGAGGAACTGCACCCAAAAGTCTCACACCCCATACATTTATGATCACTAATCTTTGTCCACCATGGGCACCCAATCAGGATTGGTGTGCACAGACGGGAACACCAGGACATACTGTACATCCCAATAAATACGGTTACGAAGTTCATTTTGATCTGGAAAATGGAGCTAGCCAAGTCAGTCGTCTAGGTTGGGATAACCCGGAAGTGACATGGGAGTTTGTTTCCTGTAATGGGCAAAACACTCCAGCCGTTAATTTATGGCATCAGTGTGAATGTTCTCATTAAAATTGTTTAAGTTTGTTCTGCTTCTTATTATTGCTATTATTCAGTGACAAGGAAATAAAATGAGGTTTAACGTCCTAATGTTCTGCTCCCACTGGGCTAATAAAGACGGGCATATGCCATACAGTGTGCTATGAGGGGCATTTTTCCGGGACAGCGGATAGCGGCGCTACGGCTTACTCTTATATCGAATTCCAACTGTCAAGGGTTCTTTATCGACATATCGTGCACGCCAATGTATACACGCGACCTCGATTGTTCGTCCCAGCCGAACGACCATACATTGACCCTTGCCAAGCCCTCTGTCCGGCAGCACTCCGGAAAATCCGGATAAACTTGCTCGGCCAACGCAGTCGAACACAGGACCTTCAAGTTAGAGATGCAATGAACCCGAGGGAAATGAAAACATATTCCCAAAATGTACGACAATGAGGTCTTCATCTTCGAAATTCAAGGATAAAGTCAAGTATTGCATACCCTGGCCAATAGTTTTGCTTCAACTGCATCGATATATATGACTAAAAAATCCCCAAATTCAAAGGTAAGCTGAAGTACCCAATTGGGCCCTTGAACAAATGACAGAATGAATGAATGAACGAATGAATGAATGAAATGAAGATTTATGGCACGTCAGCCCCACCGACTAATCGAACAACAAGTGTGCTAGTGGTACAGATAAATCGCACGTATCCTGCCTTGAGCACCATAATCCAGTAGTGCAATATCGGAAGCCACAGCTACACAATAGACAAGGACCATCGACTGCCTAATGATTTTTACGATGGACGAGAAGTTCAAACGATCTTAATCGGGAGACAGGAAAAATGTCCAATGAAATTTGTATTTCTATAAGACGAAAATGGTATCCCGAGTCTTACAATATTGTCTACTATGTCTGAAAACATTTAGGGGCAGGAGCTTTTAGATTTCTTAATTCATTGAAATGGAACAAACTTCCAGTTTTCATCCAAAATGCTCTTTCTATTGAGTGTGTGTGTGTAGAAAGTGCATAGAGCATATTATAAGTGTGGAATTGGCGCTATACAAATGTTATTATTATCATTTAGAAAGGCAATAATATGGACTACACGAAATTGTACACATGGCATTAAGGTGTGTGATTTAAGTTAAAACATAGCTTATCTCTATTTATATCGATCATGTAATATTCGAATGTAGATTATTACTAGGTCATGGCCACTGAAAATATCGGATTGTTTTCAATGTTTTTTAAAGGCGAACATTCCACCAGAATGAGCAGTGTCAACGTATTGTACAATCGGACCTACTTAGGGCGTGGAACCGTATACGGATTAGTTGAACCATTAGATAAGGCAGTAACACATTTGATTTGTGGCCATATAAAAAAAATGAAATGAAATGGAGTTTAACGTCCTACTGTTCTGGTCCTAACCTGGGCTAATGAAGACGGGCATACGCCATACAGTGTGCTATGAGGGAAATTTTGCCCGGACAGCGGCACTACGGCCTACTCTTATATCGAACTCCAACTGCCAAGGGATCTTTTACGTGCACGCCAATGTGTACACGGGACCTCGGTTTTTTGTCCCATCCGAACGACTAGACAGCTTTCCTTGTCAGCCCCTCCGTCCTGCATCACTGACAAGGGAGAACCACGCCGGAAAATCTGGATGAACTTTCTCGGCCAATGCAGGGATCGAACACCCGACCTCCAGGCTAGCGAGCTAGCGTCTTACCCACTTAGCCACGTGATCCCCTTGTGGCCATATAAATACCGAGAGACAAACTTCAGTTGCAGTCTATATTATGCTGATTCCTGATACTAATTCCTCGTTAGGGGATGGTGGGGGAGGTGGGCGGGTACTGGCCATAGCCGCCTAACCGTGTTGTATTCAACCATCACCGAATTAAAATGATCAAAAATGGTACCTGTTGGGTTTGGGATAAAGGACTTTATTATAGGTTACATATTAACCCAGTAGAATATCTAGTCTGTGAGTGCTTTTAAGAAATGTTATATCATTTTATCTTTTCGAAGGGGTGTATTATCTAAGAACCATTTCCGCCTATCGCAGATCTTTCGTTTGGCCTCAAATATTATATAAAATGATCAAGACACTTAATCACACGAAAAGCATAATGCATCTTTATTTAATACCTCGGTGTTCTCTGGGCAAAAATATATAATACAGAGAGAGAGAGAGAGAAATGGGGTTTAACGTCCACTCGACACAAACTAGGTCATTTCGGGACTAACATATGGTTTTAATTTTATTTCAATAATTCGCTTGCGCGTAGGGGTCTTTAGCAGTGGGAGGAAACCGGCGGACCCGGAGAAAACCCACGAGGTTGGACAGGCGACCCGACTCCTTGCCACGTACAACCGACGATTCGAAACCACGCCAGTTGACTCAATGACAGACTTTATGGTACAGCGCGCACGTGCTAACCATTCAGCCATCCAAACCCCCATATATTATACAATATTTGAGTTTAAATCACTTCGTACAATATAAGTAAATAATATCGATGACGCAGTACAACAAAGGGAACCCCACCAGACCACACTTTAATATTTGTTTTAAATATAACCTTGCATAACAGATTTAAAAACAGGGGTATTTTATAAAAATGCTCTCTTTCTATGCACGCTGTTCTAAATAACATATAATAATATCTACTATACCCTAATGGACATTTAAATCCAAATACTGGATGACATAATAGCGATATGTTGTTTAATCATTTCTCTCACAGGCGTTTTATAATAATATTCTCTGGTTCGCGTCTACCACACATTTGGACTTCCTGTTTTTCTTATACATTTCACCGATATGTATAGGTAATTTTTACTTCAATATGTTTACATTTATTTTTCTTATAACATAGAGCAGATCATGACTCATGGTGACATTACACAATGGTTTCTCTGGGTTATATTCCTGATTGTTTTCAATTTTGAGTGAAGTCTGTATCACTACAGGCCCGGGACTGTACAGCTTGTCTGCGATATCACTTCTGTGGAAGCAGACGTTGAAGCACCAGGTAGTAGTAGTAGTAGTAGGACTGTACAGCGCAATGGACGCTAACGGCTAGCCCCCGGATCCATTCACTTAATTTTGTTTGTGATTTCTGCGTATTCCATAGATTTTGTGTAAATTATGTGTGGTGCAGCCCCTCTTACACGAGGTCCCGTGTACACATTGGTAGTTGGAATTCGATATAAGAGTAGGCCGTAGTGCCGCTGTCCGGGCAAAATTTCCCTCATAGCACACTGTATGGCGTATGCCCGTCTTCATTAGGCCAGGTTAGGAGCAGAACAGTAGGACGTTAAACTCCATTTCATTTCATTTCTCTGTATATATTCTCTATTTTCATTAGCCCTGTCCAAGTACAAGTAGCACAGTATGGCATTAAACCCCCAGTTGTGTGATAAGATTATGTTTGGAATGTGGTTAACCAGTTCTATCATTTATAATGATGTTCATCAACATGGTACTTTACCAGTATAGCAAAAACTTGCACATATTGAGAATCTGAATATTATCAAAATTTTAACTTTCTAACCAAATTCTACAAAATACAACTAATGTACATGTAAGGTTCAATTAATTCAATATCAATGAGTTGATTCAGCCGCAAAATTACACAATTTTTATACACAGATATTTTCATGTAGATGTGTAATGTTGTTACCTGTTCACACTATATTTATTGACACTGAACAGTAGCTTCCTGGATTAGGGCCCCTGATTGTACGAAAAAACATGTTTTAGCTAGTGGTCCCTCTACTCGACGTCACAATTTTTATCAGATTTTAAAAAACTTTTCAACTATATCACCGATACGCCCTAATAATGCTAGTCAGCTGCTTCTTTGTAAAAGTATGTTATATAATTTAAGTGAAGTATTGTGTCAGTTATCACACTTCTATCTCCATGTACATGTATGAATTGGCTGACCATGTACTTACAGTGTAATTCTATTATTTATCAGATTATCACGATGGATTGAAGTTTCTGTGCAATATTTTTTACTATAAGTGATTTGAACTTTGAAGTGACATGGGTTATAATTGTTATATTTGTGACCGTGTGATTGGAAATGCAACTACTGTTTCAAAGTACATGGTTCATCTTTATTCTCGACATGGCCTGTGTAGTACAGGTATTCAAAAGTCTTCCTTACAGTGTCAACAAGGGAATTGTTGCAGAACTTTTGACACAGTGAATTCTTTGAGGATGCATTTGAAGAGATGTCACCCACCAGAAACTTTACAACAAACTGAAAGAAATTTTGGATACCCAGATGGTGATCTTCAGATAAACGAAGATATGGACTTTTCCAGTGATGATGAACTAAATCATTCCACTGAAGATATTTCTAATGAATTTGCTCCACTGCCCGTGTCGTTCATAAAAGATCATATTATTGACTTTATTCTCCAACTTCGTGTAAAAAAAATAAACCAAACAGTTATTGACTACACACTGAAGAGTGTTGATAGCATACTTAAGGCTGTAGTACAAGTTATATCATCAAGCATTCCAGATGGTTTTAATGGACAACTGACGGACATACTTCAAATGCTGTCAGAAATCGAAGACCTTGTAGAAAATGCTGAAGAAATAAGATCAGACTATCTTCACAAAAAGTACCTCATAGAAGAAAAAGGAATGGTTCAGCCAGTAGAGATAGCTATAGGAAACAGAACCGAGTCAACGTCAGATGGTGAATCTGTTATGAAATATGTAAATGATAGCATGCAATATGTACCGATCATAGAGACGATTACGAAGGTCATGTCAGACACCAACAATTTCATTAATTATGAAGATCAACATGACAAAGTAGAACAAGTGGCTTTTGATGAAGAGTTTGGGCGCCATACATTACGGGAGTATTCGGATGGGGAAATATATATAAAGGAACCATTTTTCAAACAGCATCCAGAAGCAATTCAATTACATATGTACTTTGATGAATTTGAATCGGTAAACCCACTAGGATCGAAAACAAGTGTGCATAAAGTCGGTGCGTTATATATGACAATCCACAACATCCCACAACAATATAATTCAAAATTAAACCATATATTCCCGGTTGCTTATTGTTTTGCTGAAGATGTAAAGAAGTATGGATTTACTAAGATACTCGAACCTCTTTTGTATGACCTCAAGTTATTGGAGTCTGGTTTAGATGTTAAAATAAATGGAGAAGTTAAGTTTATTGTGGGGGCTTTAACAATGTGGTCTGGTGACAATTTGGGAATTCACCAACTTTTTGGATTTAGCCAGAGTTTCAATTCCAACCTTCCGTGCCATTTTTGTTATGGTTCTAAAGATGATTTCCAACATAGATTTAGAGAGAGTGACTTCAGACTAAGATCAGAAGAACAACATGAAATTGATGTTCAGGATGTTGAAAATGATCCCAATACGAGTAAAATATCTGGAGTTTATTCACGTTGCTGCCTTAGTCAGCTAAAGTACTTTTCAATACCAAACAATATATGTCCAGATCCAATGCATGACATTTTAGAAGGGTGCTTGCATTATGAAATAAAGCGTGTTTTAAAACATTTTGTAAATCTCAAACTTTTCAGTGTACAAGGACTAAATGCACGACTACAGATGTTTGATTTCTTAGTTGATTGTAAAAATAAGCCAACACAGATTAAACCAGAGAAATTGGCATCGAAAGATAAAAAGCTGGGTTTGAATGCATCACAGTCCTGGTGTCTGGGAAGATACATTTTTTTACTAATTGGAGACCTTATACCAACAGATGATAAACATTTACTTCTACTTCAGCTTCTAATGGAAATAACCGATATTATTTTGGCTCCAGCTATAACTGTTGAAATTACCGTCTATTTAGAAGAAATTATATATCGCCATCACTGTCTTTTTAAGACGCTTTTCCCTGATGACACTATTATACCGAAACAACATTTTCTTGTACATTACCCTTCTAAGCTGCGTCAACTTGGTCCAGCTTCTCAGTACTGGTGTATGAGATACGAAGCTAAACATGCCCCATCAAAGGACTTGTGCCACATTATTAGATGCTTCAAAAATATATGCAAAAGTGTGGCGTGGAAAGAGCAAATACGTTTAGCTGTTGACTGGATTACACCCAAAGTAAAACTAACAGTTGATGTAGGAACAGGTCAAGTTATTTTACCAGTATCGCTCAAAATCCCAACAGGGTTACTCAATCAGCACAGCATTTCTCCCAATGAAGAAGTCTTTATGGCAAATTATTTAAACTACAATGGCGTGAAATACAAGCCAAATATGATAGTTGTATTGGGCATGAATAATGGCGAACCTCAATTAGGACAAGTGAAAAATATATTAATAGTGGAAAATGAAGCTCGACTTATCATTCAAATGCTACATACGTACCAATTTAATAACCACTATCACTCATATGAAGTTACTTTTAAAGATGAATACACCATTGCAGAACCATGCAAATTACATGATTGTCATCCACTTGGATTGCACTCATCATTTGAAGATAATTGTGAAAAAACTTATATTGTCATGAAGTATGCATTATTGGATAGTTGTTATTGACGTAAGTACATACATGTAGACTTTTGGTATCATGCATAAAATGTTGAGTGCATGTTCAGTTGCAATCCCTGATATCTGGATTGCATACATTTAGTTCTATGTAAATATCCTTGAAATGCTAAAACATGCAATATAATCTAAAACAGTAAAAATTGATGTACATGTAGGACTGTAGGATATTAATTATGAAACTGCGTAACTCTAATTTCCACTAAATATACATACATCTAATGGCAAACTACCACCTTTACGTAATGTCATTAACAGACAACCGCAGCCTAGGCCAGTGATATTTTTCCGATTGCTTCTTATCTTAGTATTCATTTTTATCTCTGAGTATACATAAGGACTTATGCTCTAACTTTGTAATTAATACACTTGAATTCTTGTTTTGATGCCTATTTCTTTACTACTACACACATGTACATACATAGACCATTAAATTTCAGGTAAATTGCTACTCGTAAAGTCCCTAATGAAAAGCACTGACTGAAAATAAAATTCAATAAAACATTTCATGTTCTATGTATGGAAATAATTTATCAATTTTTGTAGCTGTATGACCTATGTATTTGTAGACAAAAATTGTTAATATTCTTCAATTAAATTATTTTCAGGATGAGAATATTGCTAGTTTTTTAAAGAGAAAATTGAATGTCCCTGAAGAAGATCCAGTCATCAAGCACATTTTAGATCTTGGTGCAGAAACTGTTGATGATCTCAAGTATTTAGATGTTGAGAAGGATATTACCATTCTACCACCAATAAAGAGAAGAAAGCTCATACACTTGCTCAAGTGTGAAGCAGAAAACTCTGACTTGGGTAAGTTTCAACAAGAACAGAAAAAGTCTGTATCTATATTTGATGGATTCTCATTACCTGTTGAGATATACAGAATACATGTAGGCCAGACTACATATAAAGGAAAAGATAAATTAAAGTAAACTGGACAAAATAATATTTCTGTTCTGGTACTGATTTGCAGAAATTTCTCTCTCTAAAGTTAACTTATTTTTTTCAGTAAATGATGTACATATGGCTCTTCCGGTTATAAGCAAGCCATGCAGGTCCGAAGATGATGATGTTTTAAGACCGTTATCACGGAATTTACCCAGTACGCCACACAGAAAAACTGGTAACAATTTCATCGTTTTTTAATTGTTTGTAACAATGTTCTATTATTACTGTATGTAAAGATATAGTCCCACGAAGAGTATTTATAGGGTAGTTATCCAATAAAAGTATGTCCTATTTTGCATATATAAATAAATAAATAGACACTCCATATTACTACAGAACAAAAATATAAGCATATCACAGACTGTCAGCGTGTTGTCTGCTGAAGGGATGTACATGTAGCACCCACAGTGATCAATTGGTATTGTTGATTGCATGTGGCAACAGTAATATTTGCAGCTTACTCTTCGTAGAAACAAGCGAACAAAAAAATGATCCAATAATTTACTTACATGTAAGATAATAACCTTACTGTATTTGCTGATAGACAAATCAAATGACAAACAAGGATGCTTTAGATTTTTACTGCTTGGGGTAATACCTTGGGATTTTAATCTTTATAGAGGATTTGAAACAAACTTCATTTCCATTTCATATCACAAAGTTTGTATATATTGTTAAATACATATCATGTGTTTATTTTTTCAGTTTCAGTATTGGATGCCATAAAAAACCACCCAGAAAAAGAACATATTACAAAAGAAATGAATAAAAAAAAAAGATGAAAGAGCAGAAAAATTAATGATAAGAGCAGCTTGTAGCTTTCTGATAGACAATTTTGGAAGGTAAGTGTTCAATTCCACTGGAAAAGATTATCAGAGAGGTTTCGCAACTTTACATTTACACTTACACGGTTAAATGTAACCAGTTTTAGTGACATATGACGTGAGGCGCACATCATGAAAGTGTTTCCGATGGATAGCAGCCTATACCTTGTTTAATTTATATAATCCAGTCCATAACTTTTCTCTGAATCGTGGTTTTCAAGAACTAAATCCACAGAGAAGACCTTCATGTAGACAAAATAAGAAAAGGCCAAGACAATGTATCTGTGATGAAGGCTTATCGAGATCGTGGACCAAGTTTGTGTCGCCACCTACTAAGTGTAACTGTAAGAGTGAATTTACCAAACGTCATAATGTACAGTTTCCATTTACACTTATCTAAATGTTAGTGTAACTGTTTAGTTGCAAAACCTCTCTATTGTTAAGGTATTTTGGAGTCTAAAATTCTGATTACTATAGTAATACTGTACCTGAATGGGCACTGACGGAATCTTACTTTTGTCTAGGTGTGGCTAGATATGACTGCTCATCTGTGACAAAGCAAACCAATACATCAAACATTTAAAGTAAATTTATTAAATTAACATTATTTTAACCCAATCAAAACTGTCTAGTCAATTTTAGCCAATTAATACATATAATATTTTATTCAGTTACCCACCTCCTAAGAGACAGTTGGAAATGGCAATAGACATTGTCGAAACTTTCCCTCACAGAGCTTGTCAATCAGGCAAAGGCTATGTAAGTACTATCTGTATATTTCTTTTTGAATAAGGAACTGGTTCTATACACTTAGTAATCTTGTTCTTCTTCCTCTTCATGGGGCAATGCCCAGGTCTGCCAATTCAAGTATGATTTTCATGAAACTTAGCATGCTGGTTTTTTAGACAATCACATTTGATTTTATTTTAGTATTTATATATTACGACATCGCATTTGCATAGATGCAATGACGTTTCCTGTTCATGTAGTTGGTGATTACCTGTTCATATAGATCGCTTTACTTGTTCAAATATTAAAGGCCCCAAAAGTGGCAAGTATAAATAACATCATATTACAAAACAGTTTTCTATACCGTATTCACAATTGCAAATAATTAGAGATTTTCAATTAGTGTTGTCCTTTTTTCAGGAATTATATTATTGTCCTGGGGCAGGGAAAGGCTTCATTACTAACCGGATGAGAGAAATTTACAGACGATATGATAAAAGCCAGAAAAAATACAAAGCCAGAACACTTGGTATGTGTTTTTACCTGTATTAACTAAAATATACTACTGGCTTGATTAAGTTATGACTACATCAATTTTACCCTACAGTTGGCTGATATAATGGTATTGTTAATGTGCCGACTATAATAAGTATTCATAAATTAACATTTACATTGATCAATTCCATACACTGAGAACAAGTGTCATAAAAAAAAGTTATTTTCTAGTTATTACAGAAGATCAAGAAGATGACATTAATGATGATGAGGTACAACGTTTAAAAGTTAAAGCAAGTCATACCGTTTCAACAGAAAGAAATTTCAAGGAAATCGCTGATGCCATGGCAGCGACGTTTAATAACCGACAGAAATGGATTAAGAAAGGCTCTCCGTCTCTGAGAGAGATTCTTTCCGATTATCCCAGATATGTTGATACACCAGATTTGGTAAGTATTTGGATAGTCAAGAAAGTTCAATACAAGTCACTAGGCATATGAAATTTAAATGAAACAAAGGATTTATGAGATAAATAAGATTAATGTCATTGCTTGTAAGAAAACAAGCCAACAAGTCTCGACCAATCAAATTGCTTATCGCTCTGCTTACCCTGAGCAAAAAACGTTCATTATCGAACTTAGTCAAGGTATTGGTGTAATAAAGCTATACACCAAGTTTCTTCACTCTCACTTAATTAGAACTAAAAGTTATCGTGTCCCAAATCATCAACCAATCAAATTGCTTATCTCTACTTACCCTAAGCAGAAAATGCTCATCTTTGAACTCCATCAAGGCATTGACCTAATAAACACTCTAGCTCAATTAGATAGTTATTTTGTGACGGACCGAGCGGACGAACCCATTTTAATAGTCCCCTGCTTTCTTCAAATGGACGGGGAACAACAAAATACATTTATGTGTGTATTTTTACAGTAAATTAGGAGTATGATGGACATATTTTTACCTTTCAAATTTTTTTCAGATTTCAATAGATTTTAAAAGATTGTATCCTGATTGCTGTCAGACTTCTGTAGAAATTGAAAATGAATGGGCCAAAAAAATAATAACATATTGCCAAATAAATGGACGCTGCCCTGATGTAGTAGGCAATCTTGATTTGGAGACACAATATGATCCAAGTGAGTAGATGACCTATTTTGCTTGTCAGTGGTGCATGACGGAGGGCCTGACAACGACATCAGTCTAGTTCTTTGGCTGGGATGAAAAACCAAGGTCCTGTGTACACATTGGTGTGCACAAGGCTCTACAATGCGACTGAAACACTCGCATTTGCGAGTGAATTTTGACAATGGCGACCAGATATTTATAAATGCTAGGTTTCTGGCGAGTGAACATATATCTTGAAGTCCCCAATTAACACTATAGCTATCTGAACTTTTCTCCGTACTAATAACGTAATCGGCAATGATCCCAGTCAAATGTCACTCTTGTTACTTTCCTGGTTTGAAATTGGGTCAATCTCATTGTCCTCTTCGAGGAAATTCTCATTGCGAATGCGCTGTATTTATCAGAAGTTTGCGAGACAGCTGACAGCATGGCTAGCAGACGAATCAAACCTATATCGTCTTACTTTACTAGTAAAGTAACTTTGTCTCGCAGTGAGTCTCAGTTGGGGAAAAATGATGATAGTCATGCTACTGACGCTACACCACCCAAACAAGCAAAATTACAAGCTTCGCCGACCGCCCTCTTAGTCTCGCAATGAGTCCCAGTCGGAAAAAAATGTTTAAAACATCTTTTTTTATTATTATTATAGGACGACGAGTTATGTATGTTCACAATATAATTTAGCTATATCATACGACAAATTATTCTAATCTTCAGACTTGGCAACTGAAAATTTTGTTTGGCTAGTGGTTTTGAAAATTTACTTATGTTTGCACAATGCTGTGTAGAGCCTTGGGTGTGCACATAAAATATCCTTTGGCATTTGGAATTCGATATAAGGGTATGCCTTAGTGCCGCTGTCCGGGCAACATTTCCCTCATAGCACACTGTATGGTGTATGTCTGTCTTCATTAGCCCAGTCAGAACAGAACAGTATATTTGATGATCATTTGCCTTCAAATAGGGACATAATATTTTGACTATCACTTCTTAATGCTGACATGAGAATTGTGAAATTTATGCACTCATAAAACTAGGAAATGAATTATTAATACTTTATCTCAACTTTCAGACCAAGCAACACTGAAAATGATACGATGTATAGTAACTCTATTACCAACTATGGGACGATACAGAGTGTCAACATCAGATGCAATGAAATGCATTATTGAAGAAGTGCCGGTAAGAATTGCTTAATATCCATATTAAGATCATTGATTCACGAATATGAAAAGCCTGTATTCTAATCGAATGACAAAAACATAAGCTATGGCTGACTTATATGCAAAAGGTAGTTGGTCTGTTTAATAGTGTTTGAACCACTAGTTGGTAAGATGGTGTTTGCTGTTGCAATATGGTGTGCAAATAGGTGTGTGTGTGGGCGGGGGGGGACATGGTAGGACGCTGGCTAGCTGTATGGCTTCATTAGCCCAGTCGGAGCTGAACAGTACTTCCCTATAGCTAATTTCATTTTTGTACAAATCGGTGGTAAATGTTAAAGATTCCTACGCAACCATAATAAAAATTTCTTTTTTAGTCCCAAATTTCAAGACTTTTGTTCTGGTTCTGACCTAATTGAGCAAAAATGTTATGCAGAATTGAAACCACATAAACACTCAATATATGGCCAAATGTTTGTTTATTTAAACATTGTGCATTATAGAAAGTTTATTTTTTTTATTTTTCAGATAGGAACATCATTAGAAGAATATTTAAGTTCAGATAACAATCAGCGAACCCAGCCATATATACTTAATATTAAACCTTCAAACTTTTTTATAATTATGGAAAAAAATGCTGTCATTGTGAATTCTAAATTTTTATCTGTGGCTTTTGACCTTTTATTTTAATCTTTTTTTGTTTTTAATGTTAAGTACCCTCCACAAACACAAGTAGCTTTTAATTCTATACAGAAATTTATGTACACCATTGACTGCACTGTTACCTCGAAAGCACTCAGAATTTGGTCCGAAATTGTAAAATATTAAACACGCATTTACCGGTAGATCAAATTTAAACCTTGAGCTTCATTTCGAATATTGAATAAAACGAAAATAGTTTTAAAAGCACAATTAATAATATAATATGAATATATGACTTAAATTTTTGAAAAACTTATTGTACTTTCTAATTATGTTCATGAAATATATGAACTGTTTAAATTGAACGGCACTTGTTTATGCAAGCTTAATCCATTCTTCATGCTTTTTTTATTATTATTTTGTTGTTTGTGAATCCGCCTTTACTAATTATTACGACATTGTCACGTATAATCTGTTTTACTTGTTCATTACAAAATATCACCATTATGAAATATAAATTGTGTCTTAAATATTGGATATTAGATTCCTATATTTTCACCTCAACATAACAACATCGATATTGATTGAAATTGACCAATTTTGAATTCTAATTCATTTTTTTAATTTTGTACATTATGGAAAATATTGAGCGACTTTACCTTGCTTTTGAAATGAAATTGGTATCTACGTAATACTTTTATACTCCAACTGGGGTATTGAAGATGGGCATTAACATGCAGTTTGCTATGAGAGTAGTTTTGCCCAAACAGCAATGCTATTGTCTACTCTTGTATCAATTGTTAAAGATTCTTTTACTTTTAAGTGCATGTCAGTGTGTATACAGGACCTTGGTTTTCCGTTCTATGTAAATGATTACTTGTGCCTTACCAGGTCCTCTGTCCCACAGGTTGTGTGACCTGTATGTAAATATTAGCAATTTTCTACCTTATTTATGTTTCATTTATTTTTTTAATAACCTTTAATCCTTGTACTTATTTGTTATTCTATGGGTGCTCTTTTCATGTATAAGTTTCATTTTGTATTTGTTTTTGAATTTGGAGAGGGTCCTATATCAATATATAACTTCTTAAAACTCTGTAAATATTTTGTAAATTCTATTATATTCCATGTTTGTTGCACTTTTTTATTTTTCAAACATATTTCAATTGAATTCATAATTAGTTATCTTATTAGTGCTTTATTTGTGCATTTCAGTCTTGTCAGTGCTTATTATATATGTTTTATTTTTATTTTAATTTTATGATTGGCGGGGGGGGGGGGAGCCGGTTGTCATTGTACAATAAAATTATATAAGTATTTTACTTTTTTGATTAAACTTCGTATATTTAGTGCAGTTAAATATATTTAGTATTGAATTGGCATTGTATTGGTTTTTCTATATTTTTATGAATAAATCATAATTTAACCAAAAAAAAAATATATTGTGTTATTTATCAAACATTACAGCTGAACAGAACAAAAGGAGGGTTGCTATTACATGGGGAAATTTGTTGGTTCGTAACACAAGTTTATATGAAACACAAGTTTCAGAAATTTTAACACAAGTAATGTGTAGATTTTCACACAAGTTTCAACACAAGTTTCAAAAATTTCAACACAAGTTTCAAAAATTTCAACACAAGTTTCAGAAATTTCAACACAAGTAATGTGTAGATTTTCACACAAGTTTCAACACAAGCTTGTGTTATTTGATCCAATTTAACACAAGTTTTGTGTTGTTTCAACATTTAACACAAGTTTGTGTTGTTTCAACACAAGTTTGTGTTGTTAAATAGAGACACCTAACTTGTGTTGAAAACAACACAAGTTTGTGTTGTTTCAACACAAGTTTTTTTTCAGTGTAGAACGCAGACGATGGATCATTTTAGCCGAACATTCATGAACACATTTTGTTCTTATCAATTTGTTCGCCGTCTGCAGGTTCAAAAATCACGAACAAAATAGTTTGTTAAATATTTAGATATTTGGAACTCTGTTCGTGTTCTGCGTTAAAGCCTAACATTAAAGGAGCTAAGTCGCTAAAATGAATGTATATAAATTGATTTATATTCAATCGTTTCTGTTTTTACTGTAATTTCTAATCAGTTAGGTTCGGCGACATACGCCAGTATTCTAGATCGAATTTCAATCTCTAACTTCTGGTTATTCCAGTCTACGCCGATAGTATTTATTGGGCATGCTTTCCAGATAAGAATATAGCGTCACCGTTTGACATGACTTGTGGAATATGCCTAGCCTCGTTTTTCGAGTCCCTTATTACACATAGCGCTGAAACGCATTATGGTACACAAATCGTGTTTTCAATGTCGACGATTTTAGATGATATTGAGTTGGAGACTTAGCTACTTTAAGCAGCACCAATCTGCAATCACATACATATCACATGACATTCGCTCGTCTGCGAGACGATGTTGCTCGTCGTCTACGGACAACAAAAACAAAACTATTCGTTCAGTGTTTTTGTACGTCGACATAAATGTTCCATCGTCTACGCTGGGATTTAAACGAAATGTGGTTACATAGACTAAACAAAACATTAAGTCCCCCATTTCTGTGTGTTGCTGTGTGCTTAATTAAAGCCTCAATACCACTCTTGTTGTGACTGAATAATATGTCCCAATCTTTATTCTGGTCAACAAATTGTACTATTTTACAATATTCCAATTAATTGATGATACAAATTTCATCTTAACACACCTAATTTAAAAAATTGGAAAAATTCAACTAAATGATTTGAAAAGCATGACGTAAAGCTTTTCAAATGTGACATGTATTTAAAAATATTTTTGAACCCTCTGGACAAGTAAAATAGGATTTAATGGATAATTTACACAACAGGTAAGACACTAATACATCAACTACTTAGAATAAGGCAATTTTTTTTATTTTCTGGAGCTGTCAAGCCAGCAAGAGTGTTATTGTCCCTTTAAGCCATGCTCGGCTCTTCCGTCTGCTGTTGGCAAATGTGTCCTAATTCTTTCAATGTGTTTCATTCATTAATTAAGATCGAAACCAGCACCTCCAGATTAGCGAGCCACCTCGTTACTCACTGAGCCCCAGAAAAAAATTAACTTGAAATTGGCTAATTTAAGATTTCTTGATTAAGGCACCAGGAAAACATCACTGACAAACAGAACAAAAAATTTAAAAAAACAGTATTGACTTTTAATTAGTCAACAAAATAGAAACACACTAGATAAAAAGTTTAATTGTTGGGGTTTTTTTTGTATTACGAGATCTATTGGGGAGAGAGAGAGAGAGAAAGAGAGGGGGGAGGGATAGAGTTTAACGTCCACTGGATACAAACTATGTCATTTCGGGACTAACGTATGGGTTAATTTTATTTCAATAAATGGCTTGCGCGTAGGGGTCTTTAGCAGTGGGGGGAAACCGGACGACCCGGAGAAAACCCACGAGGTTGGACAGGCGACCCTACTACTTGTCACGCACAACCGGGGAATCGACACCACGCCAGTTGACTCAATGACAGACTTTATGCTATAGCGGACACACGCTAACCATTCAGCCACCCAACCCCCTAGATCCATTGAGTACTGCCATTCTATTAGTGTCACACCAATATATAAGGAATAACTTATATATAAAAGAACAAATATATTTATACTCATAATTATCATGGTTTCCGTTTTAAAATCTTATATTATGTACTATGCAGTATAAACGCATACCGGTACATTGATATTAATTCGACAATGGTGATCAAATTCCATAGATTAGTCTATGTATAGACGTCGATTTTATTGTATGGCAAAATACATTAATTATTACAATACAGGTTAAGATAAATTGTATTACAATTATTATTTTACATGTAATGACTATGACAACAGTGATATAAAGGTGTTCCATTAACTAGATTATATTGCAATGCATAACATATTAAATGGTCATATACACATTGATTGTTCCAAAAAGGCACAAGACCCCGCTAAGTTGAGTGCAATCGATATGAACCTTGGTATGCTTGTTGGTTGGGCGTCGAGAGACAGACTTCTATATGACGTCACAATTTCAAAATGTCCACATTGACGTCATGGGCGGTTCTTATACTACGGTTGAAAAGTGCAAAAGTAAAACCAAATTTTAGGTTTGACATCCAACAAAAAAATTAATAATGAAATTTATTGTTGACCAAGCATCTATATATAATTCAAATCTTGTCTTCAAATAAAAGTATTGCATTGACTATACTTTCTTCAAGTCACCCAACTACTGCCACACGCCTTGCTTGCGCAACCTTGGTCTCCCAGCGCATATTTATTGACGCGAATACCCTCAGCAGGTAGATTCTTATATCCACCAATTTAAACATTATTTAATGAATACATTTTTATTATGAGTAATATTTCATATGTACATTGATCACGAATATCCAGGTTTATGGACAGGTTTATTTAATTAAGTTATTTACATTTAAAGGCATAACAATGTGAGAGAGGGAGACGCAGAGAGAGTGAGAGGCACAGCTAGAGAGGGGGTTTAACGTCCACTCGACACAAACTAGATCAATTCGGGACTAACATATAGTTCAAGTTAATTTCAATAATTCGCTTGCGCGTAGGGGGCTTTAGCAGTGGGAGGAAAACGGAGGACCCGGAGAAAACCCACGCATATCAATGTACAATCACATATATTTATATGGAATTATTTCTAATCCCTATGCCTTCATTATCCAAGTCGGAGCAGACAAGTAGGACGTTAAACTCCATTTCGGGGATCACGTGGCTAAGTGGGTAAGACGCTGGCTCGCTAGCCTGGAGGTCGGGTGTTCGATCCCTGCATTGGCCGAGAAAGTTCATCCAGATTTTCCGGCGTGGTTTCCCCTTGTCAGTGATGCAGGACGGAGGGCCTGACAAGGATAGCGGTCTAGTCGGTCGGATGGGACGAAAAACCGAGGTCCCGTGTACACATTGGAGTGCACGTAAAAGATCCCTTGGTAGTTGGAATTCGATATAAGAGTAGACC